AAGGGAATGCTCATAACAAGGCATTGCACATTTCCATTGAGTGTGTAGACACTATTTTATCCAGAGTTTTAGTTGATACAGGGTAATCTTTGAATGTTTAACCTAAGAATTCCTTAGTAAAGCTAACAATAGAAGGACTAATGATGAATCCTAGCACTCTTGTGGTGCGAGCCTTTGATGGTTCTAGAAGATCAATCATTGGAGAAGTTGAACTCCCCGTTAAGATTGAAACCCATGCCTTCTTCATCACCTTTTATGTTATGGATATATACCCTGCATACATTTTTCTCTTAGGATTACCTTAGATTCACTCAGTCGGGGCAGTCACCTCGACTTTTCATCAGAAACTCAAATTTATAGTCAATGAGAAGTTGATCGTCGTACACGATGAAGAAGACATACTTGTGAGCCATCTGATATCTTTCAAATATGTTGAAGTGAGAGGGGAAATTCATGAGACTCCTTTCCAAGCCTTCAAGATAGAAAATATTATAATGGCTCCTCTTTCCAAAGGACCCAAGAAGCCTGAACGTTACATGACCTTCTAGAAAGAAGCAAAAACGGTGGTAGAAACTATTCATCCTGAAGGATAGGGAAGAGTACTTGAGCTACCTACAAAGAAAGATTGATCTTAAATAGGGTATCAATCACCTCAGGTGTCATAGAAGAGGACAATCCCAGAAGTAACCAAAGGCCAAATTCTTCCATTGCCAGAAACTTTTACCAGTGTTGGACACCTCCAAGAAGACCAGATTTCCTTTGTGGATGACGAAAACAAGAACATTGGTGCAACTTGTCTTGTGTACTGGAAAGATCAAGGAGAAGAACTCAATAATTGGACTTCCATGGACATCCTTGTAGTCATTTTAATTGAAACGTAACTCTCTTATTTTTCTTTCAAACCCCTAAGCTTTGCCCAAGGCATAGTGGAAGCTTGTAGGGCCCCCCATTATTTTCAATCAAAGTTTATCATGAATAAAATGAACATTTTTCTTTCATTTGTGTTCTTGTCTTTCATTTTTTCTTTTACAAATATGGCAATGCTTTTTCATACATTTTTTCTTCTCCTTCATTCTAAAATAAAGCATGAATTATAAATCATGCAGATCCGCCTCAGATTCCATTGATAACAATAATGTTATGTTTCACTATGACTCAATCTACCAGGCCGACGAGGATTGTGAACTCCCTAAGGAGTTGGCCATATTATTACAACAAGAATTAAGGGTCATTCAACCGCATCAGGAATAAGTGGAAATCACTAACCTTGGGATATAAGACAATGAAAAGGAAGTCAAAATAGATGTCATCCTAGAAGATGATGTGAAAAAGAAGATGATTGAACTTCTGCACGAGTGTGTAGATGTATTTTCCTCGTACCAAGATATGTCGAGACATGATACAAATATTGTGCATAAATTGCCTCTCAAAGGAGAGTGTCTGCCGATAAATAAAAAGTTAGGGAGAACGCAACCTGGTATGGCTATCAAGATCAAATAAGAGGTTCAGAAACAAATCAACATGGGTTTCTTAGCTGTGGAAAACTATCCTCAATGGGTTGCGAATATTGTACTTGTACCAAAGAAATATAGCAAGGTACGAATGTGTGTTGATTATAGGAATCTAAATAAATCAAGCTCAAAAGATAACTTTCCACTATCTCATATTTATGTGTTGGTAGATAATACGACTCAATTCTCTATATATTCTTTCATGGATGGATTCTCTAGTCATAACCAAATTAAAATGGCCCCGAAAGACATGGAAAAAACTACATTCATCACCCCTTAGGGAACTTTTTGTTACAAGGTTATGCCTTTCAGGTTAAAGAATTTCGGTGCAACATATCAATGAGTAATGGTCACTCTCTTTCATGACATGATTCATAAATAGATCGAAGTATATGTTGACGATATGATTGCAAAGTTCAAGACTGAAGAAGAACATCTTGTCCATCTACAAAAGTTGTTTGCATGATTGAGAACATTTAGGCTGAGGCTAAATCTCAATAAATGCAGCTTCAGGGTAAAATCTAGCAAACTATTGGGTTTCATTGTAAGCCAATGGCGAATTGAGGTTGATCTTGGTAAGGTTAATACCATACAAAGTATGTTGACACCAAGAATTGAGAAAGCAGTTCGTGGTTTTCTAGGAAGATTGAACTACATTGCTAGATTCATACCGCACCTTACAACCACTTGTGAACCTATATTCAAGCTACTCCGAAAATATCAAGCTATTAAATGGAATGATAATTGCTAGAAAGCATTTGAAAGAATAATATAGTATCTGCAAGAACCATCGATCTTAATGCATCCAGTGCCGTGTAGACCCCTCATCATGTATCTGACAGTTCTCGAGGAATCTATGGGATGTGTACTTGGGTAACATGAAAAGATAGGTAGAAAAGAGCATTCCATTTACTACTTAAGAAAGAAGTTCACTAATTTCAAAAATAGATATTTTGTGCTTGAGAAAACATGTTGTGCACTCGCATGGGCTGCAAATGCTTGAGACAACACATGTTAATCCATACAACATTGTTGATATCAAAGATGGATCTAATCAAGTACGTCTTTGAGAAGTCCACTCTAACCGGAAGAGTTTCCCGTTGGAAAATGGTATTAACAGAATACGACATCCAATATGTCACCCAAAAAGCCATCAAGGGGAGTGTGTTGTCAGATTATCTTGCCCACAAACCCGTGGAAATTTATAAGCCAATGCGGTTTGACTTTTTAGATGAAGACATCCTGTTTATTAGAGACAATGAAATTCTAGGCTCTGATGAAGGACTTGAACTAGGATCGTGATGGACACTCGTGTTCGATGGTGCCTCAAATGCTCAAGGTCATGGGATTGAGGCATTCATTACTTCTCCAAAAGGTTTTCATCTTCCTTTCACAATAATATTGTGTTTCGACTGCACCAATAATATGGCAGAATATGAAGCATGTATCTTCGGAATTGAATCAACCATTGATCTGAGAATGAAAATACTCGAAGTATACGAAGATTTAGCTCTGGTTATCAGTCAGATCAAAGGATAATGCGAAACTCGTGATCACAAGTTAATCCCATATCGAGGACATGTCTTAAAGTTGATTCCCTACTTTGATGAAATAACTTTTCATCATATCCCTAAGGAAGAAAATCAACAGCAGGCGCTTTGGCTACCTTGGCATCCATGTTCAAAGTTAAGTGGACCAACCAAGCACTCTCCATTTGCATTGAACACCTGGATGAACCTGCATATTATCTAGAAATTGAGGAAGAATTTGATCATAAACCTTAGTTCTATGAAATCAAAAGGTATCTAGAGAAACAAGAGTATCCTGAGAACGTTTCTATTATAGATAAAAAGACCTTGAGGAAGCTCTCAGCCAAATTCTTCTTGAGCAGAGACGTGTTCTACAAAAAGAATTACGACTTGATCTTACTCAGATGCATGGATAGACACGAAGTAGACGTGACCATAAAAGAAACTCATGAAGGCTCCTTTGGGACCCATTCCATTGGGCACACGATGGATAAAAAGATCTTGAGGGCAAATTATTATTGGTTGAAAATGGAAACTGACTTTTATCTCCACGTACAAACGTTCCACAAATTTCATATATATGCAAAAAAAGTGCACGTACCACCAACTCCTTTGAACGTCCTATCATCATCTTGGCCTTTTGCCATGTGGGGCATATATGTGATTGGACACATTGAACTAACTACTTCAAATAGGCATCAGTTTATCTTAGCAAGCCATCGATTACTTTACCAAATGGGTAGAGGCTATTTCTTATGCAAATATCACTAAACAGGTGGTTGCTCGCTTCATAAAGAAGGAAATCATCTGTCGTTATGGGATTCTCAACAAGATCATTACTGATATTGGATCGAACCTCAATAACAACATGATGAAAGAGTTATGCAAAAGTTTCAAGATCGAACACCATAACTCATCGTCATACTGTCCGAAGATGAATGACATTGTTGAGGCATCAAACAAGAACATTAAGAAGATAGTTCAAAAGATGGTGAAAACATGCAAAGATTAGCATGAAATGCTACCTTTTAATTTACATGGCTATCATACTTATGTACGAACTTCAATTGGGGCAACTTCATTCTCTCTTGTGTACGGCATGGATGCAGTTCTTCCCGTCGAAGTAGAGATTCTCTCTTATTTCGTTGTCTAATTCGGTTTAATTTGGTTTAGTCACATGGTTCGATCAATGACCCCATAGTTTGACCAATGAACCATTTGTTGGAATTACGACAAATTCCTGATGTGGAATCTCTCAAATCTTGGAGAATTCCGAATGAATCTTGATGAACAAGAATTAATACTTCTGATTGATTACTCCTCTTGTTTTTCACTCTTCACTTGAGTGAATCAACCACACATTGGTTGTAAGATGATTCTGCTGCACAACGATTATTGAAGAAGAAAAGTATAGATGAAATGGTCGGGAAAGAAAAGAGAAATTAGAGTTTTGGAGAAAAGTGAAAGAAGAAGAATATTTCTACAGACTTTTTCTCTCTGCTTTCAAACTGAAATTTTATTCAACTTTTCTTTTACAAATACATTTTACAATACCATATTTATAAGTTGAGATTGCTTGAAAACCAAACAATCTCCATCTAACCTAACTAGCTAAAAACAAACAAAATAAAATTAAGTCTAAATTTATGTCGAAATACACTTCTTTAACATTTCGACATTTCAATATTTTGACCGTGATACAATTTTTACACGGAGCAGACTATCAAAATAGTGTTTTGACACATAATTATACTTTCAATACCATTGCTTCGGTAGTCTCGCCTATTTGACAAGAGATCTTGTTTTTGAAACTTTCATGTTGAAACTTATACTTTAGGATACATTCAAGTGGACAGAAAAACAAAAAGAAACGCCAAAAAGAAAATATTACAAGATTCAAGAACCATTATATTGCATAAGAAAACATTAATGTGATGCCAAGGAAAACACAAATATAAAATCAAGTTGGTTTAAGATCTTCAAACAATGCACGCCACATTTCAGAATCCTCAAAATCATAATCATCTATTGTCTTGTTGTAGAGACAATGAAAATCAATTGGGCTTATTGGTCCAGAAAATCTTGGACTCCTTCCTTCAATAGGCCTATTTCTCACTGGACTTCTATTTGTGTAAACCATTTTTCTTTCACTCACTTTTCCATCAAGAGGACCAGAAAATTTCAACATATTTTTGTTGGTAATTACCATTTTCTCATTATACATTCTTCCATCTAAAGGCCCTGAAAATGCTACTCTCCTATTTCTATGCATACCCTTTTCTCCTTTGAGTTCCTCACTTACCAATGCTCTTCTCCATTTCCCTTGGTTCCAACTTTGCTCTTGTTGCAATGAAAACATGTTCATGTTTTTTTCTTTTTCTTGATGGAAAATGAGCTTGCTAAGACACTTCTTTATACACTTTTTGATAACCAAAGAAAACTTGTTGGTGTTTTTTGGCACTTTGTCATTTTGGTTGTTGACAAGCTTGAGAATTTCTAGCCTATGTTTGGCAACTGAAATTCCCATGCTTTGAAGAAACTCATGGGTGAAGTGGATTGAATCTTGTAATTGAAGCTCATTGCGTGTAAAAGTGAGGCTATATTCATAGAGTAGAAAAGGGTCTAGGTTGGTCTTGGATAGCCAAGAGAACCAGTCCATTATTTATGGAAATGGGTTTGTGATGTAGTAATAAATGTATAGCTTCTAGCTTTACTTGTAGGTTAAATGTTTTGAGGTGTGTGGTTCCATTTATAAGGTATAGTTGATAGTTGAAGAGGTGAGTGAGTGAGACTATAGTAGTTGATAGTTGAGTCAATATATAGTATCATATTTATTGTACAATTTATTTATTTATTATTTCCTAAATCTGAAATTTAGGATGGTAGTTTAGATTTAGGGTGACAAAATTGAAGAATATGTGTGGAAGGGATATATAGCCCACGGGCATGGTCCGCGTGGATATAGGATATGAAGATACTTAAAAAAAAATAGAATTGAGAACTTTACGGAAAGGTTGTGAAAGAAATTTGTTGTATTCCTACTAAAGAAATAAAAGAAAAGATGAAATCAAAATATGCGGCTGTTTTTGTGGAGCTTATTATCATGACACTGTTAGAAAGAATATGACAGGAGCCTGTTAAAGGGGAAATGAAATGGCTTAGTGGCATCATGGGCCCAGATGATGAATTAACTTATTAACAAAACAATCAATTTGTTTGAAAGAAAATTTTTTGAAAGAGTTTGATGGTTAGGATTAATGTCCCCAACAGTGGAAGGTTTGATGGTTAGGATTAACGTCCCCGATAGTGGAAGGATATATATATATATATATCAATTAGAGATAGGTGGTGGTGAAAATTCATTTGAGTATATGGGGAAAGATATGTATAAGAGGTTATCTACGGATGACCAACCATGCTCAAATCATTATTGGTGGAAGGTTGAAATAAGGCAATGCCTTTAAAAGTGTCTTGTTTGGTTCGGTTCGGAGACTTCTTTAAAATAGAATCTCAACAAAAGATAATTTAGCTGAAAGAGGAGTTCTATCTTACCGTAAAGGAGAATGTGTAAGTGGGTATGGGGGTGAGGAATTGATCTCTTACATTTTTTTTAAGTGTCTAATTTTTACTAGGCGTGTGAAGTTCTAAGTGTAATTGGTTTCGAGTGAGTTCTTCTTTATATAATGATAGTTGGCAGCATTTGGAGCAATTCAAAAGTCTATTTGAGAAAGAAACTCGTTATCCTAAAAAATGACGGTGATTTGGTTCGCTACATTCGGAGCATTTGGAAGTTTAGGAGCAATAAAGTCTTCCAAAACAAATTCACATAGAAAATTTGGCTGAAGAGACATAAAATTTGGCATTGAGGTGGTTTAAGATTAAATCAAATTCGATAACATACAATATATCTATATGGTTTGTTAATCCTAAAAGTGTGTATCGGCATTATAAATTATTGAAATCAAGTGTTCTCTCTTTGCGCTAATTCAAATATGGCGCGTAATTGCAGCGTTTCAGGAGTTTTAAAATCGAATATGATGTTTATCTTGAATCTTTGCGCATTGTGGTTGTGTTTGCTTTTTGAGGAATCGATTATGTCACCATTGATGTAATATTTTGATGTTCTGTTATCGTATTGAGGTATTTTGGTGACGGCTTTGTTTAGCGATGTGCAAAATATCCGATTGTGAGATCCAAATACATAACTAAATTCAAATTCATTTAAAATTTTTGAATATAATTAAATAATTATTAATCGGTTTAGTTATTAATGGTTGGCTATCCAACTATATTTTATTTTTAAATAAAGTTATAATCCGGTTATTATCCAAAATTCAAATGTTTTAATTTATAATTGTTTTTATTTTTGAAGAAAATTTAACTTTTTGAAAAAACACTAAAATGTTTTAGAAAAAATTAAATTTTAAAAAAAATAACTTTTTTGAAAAATAAATAAATTTGATTACTCATAAGTGAATAATTATTTAGTCAGAGTGTCATTGAGATTTTAAATGAAAAACAATGTAAATTAAATTCTTGAAGTTAATCTCTATGTAATATCAACAGAGTGAACGGGTTCTTAAGACAACTTCTCTCATAATGTCCACAAAATATATATATATATATATATATATATATATATATATATATATATATATATATATATATTTATATATATATATATATATATATATATATATATATATATATATATATATATATATATATATAAAGATGTTGACATTAAAATTTTTTGCAAACCTTTTATGGAAGAATCCAATTGATAAAAATAATCAACGGTTGAATTAGGATAATACAACTCATTAATTTCAACTAGAGTGAAGCATCCTAAGCTGATTTGTCTTGGAAAACCAAACTAATTTTAACTGAGCAAGTTTAGAAAAATTAATTTTTTGAAAATTTTTTTTTAATTTGTTTAAAAATAACATAACTCTAAATCAAAAAATAATATATATTTTTTCAAATTTATAAAAAGTTCGTTTAAAAATAATTTTTATAAAAAATTCATTTAAAACTGGATTTTCAAAAGAAAATTGATTATATAACTATAACTAAATTTATAAACAGTTTTGGTTGGAATATAGTTATGAATCCAAACTATTTAAATAGTTTAAAAATAATTATGGTTTAATATTTAAAAATAATCAATCATGCACACTCTTGGCTTTTTTTTTCCTTTTCATTTATAGTTTTCTTGATTCTGATTAAAGAGGTTTCTGTTTTCAAATTGTTGATTTTGGCGTCGGGTTAACTTAGTATATAATGTTAGTTTAGGTGTCGACTTAATTTTCAAGTTTAGGTGCCTTGGAGACATTGTTGTTTCTTGTGTATTTTTTAGGTCTTGTGTATCCATCTTCTTTATATGTTGTAACAAATTCTTTAAGGCATTACTTATGCCTGTCTTATGTTAATATATTGTGCTTTTTTTTTTGCTAGTTCAAAAAAAAATTGGTAACCTAGTAATTGTGATTTACTCAATATATGTTTGAGTGATTTTTCAAAATTTTATAAATATTTGAAAAATACTATTGTCCAAAGGTTAATTTTCGAACGCATCTATACTATGTTAGTCATATGATTTTACTTTAAAAATAATTAAAAAAGTTTTTCAAAAGTTAATTTTTAAATACTATTCATGCAAAAAAATATCACAAATATATTCATAAAAAATGTTAATTTCAACTATTCCTACAACCGCTAAATAAAAATTTGAAGAAAAAACCAAACAATTGTACCCACATATTTTTTCTTAATAAATTTAAATGTCTGAAAGTTAACTTATGGACGCACTCTATACCATGACCTAAAAGTTGTGTACGGAAGTTAACTTCAGAATAATATTACCCGTAGAAAAAACAGTTAGTATATTAAGGGTGACAAAATGGATGGATTGGATTGTTAATGAATGGATTAAAATAATTTATTAGTCTATTAACAATCCACTATTTTTTTTTTTAAAATTATCCAATCCAATCCATCCATTAAGAATAAAATTCATTCAATCCATCTATAACATATTTTTAATGGGTGGATATCCATCCATCCAACTTTTTTTTATTTTGAAAAAATAAATGTATTTTTTTTTTTTTTTTTTGAAAAATTCATTTTTTTATATTTAAAAAAAATTAATATATTTATGAAAAAATTGAATTTTTGTATTTTCAAAAAAAAATTGATATTTTAGTTTATAAAAAATATCGATTTTTTTTATTAAAAAAATTGGTTTTTTGTTTAGGAAAAAATCGTTTTTTTTCAAAAAAACAAATCAGTTTTTTATTGGAAAAAAGACGATTTTTTTCGGAAAAAAAAAACTAATTTTTTTTTCAAAATAAATCATCTTCTTTTCGAAAAAAATTTGATTTTTTTTTTGGAAAAAAATTAATTCTTTTCTTTAGAAAATCTATTTTTAATTATTTAAAAAAAAATAAATCTAACGAAAATAAAAATAATTCATTGGATCCTTAAAATATGTTGGATGGATCGAATCCATCCATGCATATAAATGGATATATTTAATCCAATCAATTAATTTATTTTTTATGTGGTGGATGGATTGAATGGATTTTTTGATGGATGGATTGCATGGATTTTTCCTTAATGGATTCAATTGTCACCTCTAGTATATATGCATAAAATGTTAAATATTTTCAAAGTATGTCTGAATTGAAATATAATTTTCATAAATGGTGAAGGGACTTTTTTGGATTTTCATAGAATTTGGTAGTAACATATAAGGTGTATTGAGCCCAAAAAACATCTAACTATATGATACACTATTGATATGGTGCCGAGACCCACTAGTACAAAAGACGAGACCAACACTATTGATGATGAAATTGGGCCAAATGGGCCAACTATTGTTCCGTGTGAGAAATCCAAAACGGATAACAAGAAACCAACTTGGGCACATGATTTTTGGATCAACAATAGGGAGTTTCTTCTCCCACCCTAATTCGTGGAAAAGAATCCTAAAGAAAACCAAAAATGTATTTGCGAATCTGAAAATGCATTTTCGAACGTACCTATTTCATACCAAATACTATTCTATTGCATATGTGGGACTCATGTTCTTACGTTTCCTTTTGTGCTGCAGTGGCATCCGTGTCTTGGTAAGATCGACATCTAAAATGTTTCTCCCATGAGAGCCTTATGGAAAGACTCCTCTGTCTATACCCGCTCGACATAGCCGCGTGCATAGCTAAAATCGCTAGGAGCTACGATACCTCATGCTTCTTCCGGTACCAAATGATTAAGGAAATCATCACACATGGAATCTACATCTACGTGGTGTCGCATCTCGAAAAATATGATCTTTCACGAAGTGTATCGCGAAAAATGATTCAAACAGAGTCGCCACCGAACTTTATTTATTCAAAAAGAGGAAAGAGAAAATATTGATAAAATCCTTGAGAGAAAAAGAAGATGTTCATCACAACCATATTTGAGTTTAGGAGTCGATTACGCAAGGGAAATGTATTATCATCCCTCACGTCTGTTGTACTCAACGGGAACCTTTTAGTTAAATTTGTGATTGAATGTTAGTTAATGTTAATTGTTTTCTTTGAATTCTAAAAAGTGAAAAAGGAAAAGAAAATGGGTCGCACAAAGGTTTTTTTTATTAGGGTGCTTGAAAAGATT